TGAGAACGGGTGTTTCGAGCAAACCCGCAAATATACGGTGATGGAATAGCAAACAAAGTGTGTATCATTATCTAGCTGAGCTGTGTTCACTTTTTTGACAAACAAGCTGCCTGTTTGTTTCGCTACTACACCGTTCAACAGGTGAGGTATAGCAAGCAAGCTTCTTTGGTTTATGGAGTACCAAATGAAGTCATGTTGAATTCGTATATGTAACCAAAACAAAGATTCATGCTTTAATTACTTCACTGGTTCCTAGAATTAAGTTTTCAAATCCAAAGGGGTAAACAAATGTATATTCAATCCATAATTAATAAAGGTATAAACATACCCACACACTCGAACAGTCACACGCACACAGACACAGGCACACATATCATTGAATAATAATGAATAAATGAATACATGGATGTACACCTGTATGGATTCATATTAGGTCGTGTTAAATATTAGTACATCCTTCAACAAAATTAGGCTTCCCTTTTTTCCTAGATTATATTGTTTTCACAGCGGAATGGATTTGTGGGATTTGTTTTCTTCCGAAAAGTTTTCTCTTGTGAACAGTAAGACCATATGAATCACACAATTCCAAGTAACTTCGTGCATGGGATAAGAGAAAAGTCGCGCTATGCATGAGTAGACCTACATAGTCATCGCAAACACTCTTTCTTACAATGTCTTGAGTTGTCTTTCTGCATTGTTCAAAATTATCAGGTGGGCTGTATCTATACAGACCACCTTATAATTTTGTTAAAATTGCCTTTATTATTATTTATTTATTTTATTTCTAACCACTTTTTTGTTAACAAGATAACTTGAAAATGGCTAAATCAAATAACTTGAAATTTGGCACACATATGTATAGGCATATGGAGAAAACACGGTAAGGTTTAAAACCTTGACCTTGACTGATGACGTCATCTAGGCGCCATTTTGTGAAATTTTCTGAAAATTTACTCATGATCATATTTTCATAACGGTAAATCATTTCTCATTCATATTTATCATGATCAAGGTCAATATCAGTCCGGTCAATTTCATGTCAAAAAACGCGCGCGTGCGCGTACGTCCGCGCGTTAGTGCGCGCGCAAAATTTTATAATGCTGAGAATCGTTTCAAATTTATTTTGCATACGTTTAAGGCCATTTTAAGCATTTTATAAAAAATCGCGCAAAAATCGCGCACACGTGCGTGCGCGCGCGTTTTCGCGCGTAACACCATTACACAACATAGAATCTCCATTTTTTTTCTTTCATGATATTTCTCATTTTTTTTCGAACAATTTAATACCATGTTCATCTCTTTATGACCATTAATAACAAGATGAGCGTCCATTCAAGATAAATGTCCGTGCGCGCGAGCCCTTGTAATACATAACATATATGGGCAAAAACATACCTATAGAAAATCCATTATAGCTCTTTTGGGATGTACCTGGACCCCCAATTTTTTTCATATTTTGATAGAGAATGAGTTGGAGATATGATTCAATGTCTCATTTGGCTATTAACAATATTCTGACATCATCATAATGGCCTTGGAACTAAAAATACGAATTTGCATATTATGAAGTCAGCATATTTATGGAAAATTGATCGTATCTCTGTAAATATTGATCGATTTTATTCCAAATTTCAATATGTTGTAGCTAAGACAATTTTCTACAAGCTTAATTATAACCATTTTTCATTTTGATGACGTCATCAGAGTGAAATTTCGATTAAAGGCCTCATGTCAGAAATTTCATAATTTGCGTGTTACGACTATTGAAGGTGAATTTGATTCACGTAATGAATCTACATGATATTGTTTTTTAAGAATTTTGAAGCAGTATTTTGCTTATTTTTGCTCTATTTTGTCTCAAATTTTAGTTGACCAGCCCACCTATACTTGTTCCAAACAAGTATTACATGTCTAGTTCATTATTATTATTGTTTACTTATTTCTAGTATTGTTGTGGGTTACCAAGAATTCCTCGAAGGTGCAGTTGGTCACCAATGTGTTGATTTCATAAGCTTTTCTGTTTTCATTTCGGTGTATTTTGTATATCAAAGTTCAAAATAGGTGATGTAAATATTCGTGCTTTCAACAACAACAAAACAAGGTAAATGCTAATCTACGTGTGAGCAAAATAACAAAATTTCAAAAAGAAAGGAAGTTCACCAAGCCATAATCATTTTATGCGCCCTATCTTTATTTTTCTATCCATTTTATATTTGATTCATTCTCCTCTAACTAGCCTTCAGAAGCTCATAAAAATGTGTGTGCCTGTGCGTTAACAAGTCTTTTAAAATGGAAATAGGCCACGATGGCTTCCACCAGCTTGCTCCATATATTGCCATTATTTCCAACTCAAATCTCGTTCATTCACGTCCAAAAATCGTTTAAATGGAATCTCATAAACTAGTGTGTTTAAGAAACCTTTTAAAGGAAGTACACAATGCATCTTTCCTCCATATTTTCCCCCATTCTTCTCCTCTCATATCTAGTTCATTCTCTACCTTTCATACTAATGGGAAAAAATAATCTTATTCCACGGGTTCTGATAATTAACCTATATTTTGGTCGAAAATGTGAATGCAGTACTCGACTCTCCATTGACACAGGGATCGGTTAGACGGGTCCAAAGGGAAAACGATTCTCCTTCCTCGTCACGTTTCATTGTTCCTGCTAATTGCCAGATCAAATCCGCAGCTAAATGAACTGGACTTTGATGGGAGATGACGACATCCCTGTAGTCACTGACATCGTTATTTCTTCGTCTCCTTAAGATCAAATCCGTATCTATATGAACGTAAATGTGAAGAAAAGAAAAGACGACGCCGTCCCTGTAATCATTGACATCGTTTTTACGTCGTCGTTTTAAGATTAAATCCACAGCTTTTATTATTGTCTACTTACTGATCCGCTCTTTCCTGAGGAACTTAAATTCATTTCTTTTCTGAATCCCATTGGTTGAAATGAATTCAAGGTTTCGTTATGGTCAAACTATACTTGACCACAGAAATGACCATCAATAATTTTAAATGGTCATCCTTTTGTCGAATATCAATGGACTGATACGTAGGCCAAGTAATAATAGTTGATGTCTCCATCTATCCATCATACTGATGCTACTAGACATTATCAGTTTATTGTAAATTAAGTATTCTTTATTGACTGGTCAGTGGTGAGACAGTATTCTACTTCAGTAGACCTTATCACTGGTCAAGACCATCATGGATATAATATTCGTCTTTCCAGAGCCAGAATGGCGTTTACTCTATTTTAAAGTATATGAGTTAAAGCCCTTGTGTGTATTAGTAATTTCTGTGGGCTATTTTTGTGAGGATCTTCCGGTAGGTATAGGTGATATGCTGATATAATGATAAATAAATACATTTATTAATAGTTAATTAAAACTTGTTGATACCTAATTGAGATATTTTGCCTTTGGTTAAGTCTGTAATAGTATTGGAGTGTTTAGAGGTATCCGATGGGGTATATACTTCCCCCAATGGACCATATAGCAACCCCGATGTGATACGTTCTCGCCCCTGTAAGCTAGGTTTCACGCACCCATGCCTTTTTTGAAAGGCCCACTGGGGCGGGAAACAATAGCGTCAACAAAGCCATATCGACCGGCCCAAGACTTGGTAAAAGAAAGCGAAGTAAAGCTTTAGTGCCTCCTCAATCCAAAATGGTGGACCTCGAAATAAAAGAAAAGGGTACATCGCAAACAATAGCACAGGGTCTACCGTGTTTTTGTGTAGGGTATGCTTGAACGGGAAAAGGGATTTGAGTGTATAGAAAACTCTCTGTGGCTCTATAGAGAATGGCGGTTTGGCTCAATGCAAAGGCTGTTGTATAGATAAGGTCCCCTTTTTGTACCTGCACAAAAGGTATGGGCTTTCCCTGTGTCTATTTAGGATTGTTTAGGATTGAATACAGTTGTAAATCAGTGTTTTCCTATTTGATTGTGTTCGAATTATTTGAGTAGACCAGATTGGAGAAGTGAGACCAAGTGTTGAAACACACGTGCGGGGTTAACGAACGACATCTATTCTAATTGAATAAAAGTGGATTCCAGAACACAAATAACACTCCCAAATCCATCTTCATTCACCTTTGTATAATGCCTAGATACACATGATAATGGGGATTGACACAATTAAAAGTAAAAGTATGCTTCAACCCAAAATAGATTATTAGATGTGCCCGCAATAGCTTTGCATCGCCAACAGGCACTAATCGTTACATCAGAAACAAGTTATTTTGCACCGTGTTTTTCCTGTACATCATGCTTAAATAAAGTTCTTCTTACAAATTGTATTAATCTGAAAAAAGTGAGATAATTCAAACAAGTTCCATAGCTCTATTTTGCTCAGGATAAAGATAATGTCTGTCGCTCATAATTATATCAAGCTTTCAAACTTTGCATTGATAAACAAGACTGATGAAACAAGGCACAAAATATGGATATCCAGAAAGTTTCCTTATTACGTAGGATACAGAGGTACATATAGCCCTACATAAGATCGAGTATATGTATCATGTCCTCTTTTACTTTTAGCTTCGTACAGAAAATGTGTTTTTTTTTTTCAATTTAAGAAAATAAAATGAGTGTAATTCTCAGATGGTAATGGCGTCTTTACTTTCAGCAACGATATTACTTGTATTCATTTATCTTTCAATAATCTGTGGTTGGCGTATGATACGTGTGCCTTTGGATCCAGACAGGAATATGGATAGGGTACCAAGGAGCCGCAATTGCTTTCATATCATTTATATGTGATGTAAACTTTCATAAAGGTTGTGAATTTAAGTCACTGACTGATGATCAGCTAAACTGTATCTTTTTTTAAACGTTTACAACATTGTTTGATATGTACGTGATTAGATGCTTGTGGGTATGATATGATTATTGCGTTAATTAAACATTTAATGTCAGATGGGGATGATATTGATAGTAGTTATTATAGTACTGACACAATGTTCGTTTTACTTTTGTAATTTAGGGGGTCCCCTGGTCATTGGATTTCAAACCTGGACATACCTTTGTGCACCATCTCCATTCTCCGTTGCAGAATACACACTGCGAGGGCAAATAGTAAGTCAAACTATATACCATATAGCGATTTTGTTTTCCCTTCTTTCCCTCTCATTACAAGAGATACTGACATTAATGACTTCTGGGCCTCTTTCTCTTCTATTGATTTTAAAGGAATTTTCGACGAAAGGTATTCTTATACCTAATACCGCAAGGCCAACCTTTCGCCACTGTCTCCTGGGCAAAAAATGGGAAATAAAGCTGAACCTAACGCGACTGGTAACTATTCTAGCTCAGAAAGGTTATTATTGCTCGCTGAAAATTCTGAAATCTGTCTATCATATCGCAACGGATGTGTCACTTGAATGGATTGCCAATCATATTTTACAAGGTCCTCGAGTAAATAATGACCCGCAGAGCCTGTAGGGGCTGCCCATTTTGGAACAAAAAATTGACACAAATACAAATAAATCCATGAGTAATTCCGCGGCATGAAAAATGATGACATTTGGTTAAGTTACTCCCAAAACGCGTCTATTCCACTTTCCTTTCCTCCCAGGAGCAATGGAAACGAGTTTTCTACGGATTCCATTTCTAGAAGGCCGACTTGTTAAACAGTTTCAGTCATATAGCCCAGTTAAGTATGTGATAATATCTTTATAATTAAGTTTCTATCCACTGGACCGAATTTCCAGTAATTAAGGCCCGACTAGGTCCCCCTAATCACTTTGCCAATCAAAACGCTATTAAAGCAATCATTGTTTTTAACGCTACGCGCTAAAATAATGTGCCGGTGACCCGCGTCTAATAAAGCGTGAAATGGAGTACCAAATTAACTCATAATATCCGGGTCACGTGATTGCATTGCCAATTTGAGTTTCAGTAAATCTTGAAATTAATAGCTGGGCTACCCTTGGGTGACGCCGGTTTAAAACTAAAACCCATCGTCGCCAGCTTAAATACTTAATTTGTCTGTTGGTGCGTATGTATCTAAACAACATTTTAGCCCGACTATGAAATTAATCCTCCCATCCAACCCAGCAAAAATAACAAATCGGTATTTCTTTTGCCCGATCGGCACATCTGCCAAGATTCGAATATGAATTCAGGAATTTATTACACATGAATACGCTACACAAATAGAGCGTTTGTTTAGCGTTAAATACCGCTATTATGTATCCGTATTTGTACACTGACTCTCAAAATAACAAATTAATCATGAATATCATTTCAACGATTTTGTTTTTAATTTTTGATTTTAATGCAAATGATATCAACAGATGAATTTGTAGTGAAAATCGGACCTCAGTATGTCAGTTCCAAACTCTCCATAGTGTGTATATATCGTGAGGCACCTTTCTGATATTTTCTGCACTCTCCAAAGAACATTATCAATTATAAAGATGCTCTGACTAATTTATAAAGAAAAGTGACATCAACAGAGGAATTTAGTATTGAAAATGAGCCCTCGGTATAAAACGTTTTCCTTTTGGTTTCAAAGCTCTCCACAGTTAGAAATTTAATAATTTAGACCACTCTTTCAGTGTACAGATTTTTCTTTGATGCATGGAGACTGGTTCATGCCATGATTGGATCGGGGCAAAAGCAAGCATCGCCATTTAGGCGCGTTGGTCAATAAAACATTGATTTTGTTGAGAACAGGCCTTCACCAGTCTATGTCAATCGATCACAAGGTGACGACGGGAGCCTTAAATTGCAGCAATGAAATTCTAACGCCCTTACCATTTTTTTTAACAGGCTACGATTTTATGGCATTTTACCATATTAAAAAAATCCTTGCCATAATTTATGCAGGAAACAGGCTTTTCGAGTATTTCACTCTGTCCCTAGAGATAACATGAGCAAAACTCAACCTATTTTGCCTCTAGCTTTTTTTTCGTTTACTGTGTATGGTTAGGATGAGGTCTGCAGTTTGATTTGGGGTTGGTGATATGGTTAAGACAAAGTGCAATGTTAGGTCGAAGGTTGAAGTACTGAACAGAGAATTGAGGAGTATTAGATCTTGGAGCGATTGTCGTTTGAGCATCTTTGTCAATTTACAATATAACATATTACTATATTCGTGGACAAGAACAGTCCACTTTTAATATTTGGTTAACCTAATATTTCCTTCTTGATTTAGGCCAAATGCAAATAAATGAACGTCTACGCGTACGGATGACAATGATTATATGTACAACTATTTTAGAGGCAAAAACTGCACTCTTTGCAGCAATACAAATTGCATTTGCGAATTTACGTGCATGTGTGTCTTGGAAAGACAGAGAAAGAAAAGTCATCCACCTGTTGCTTAAACTTGTTGCTAGAGGGCGGTAGATCACAATTATGAGCAGTGATGTCGTTTCTCTATTTTCGCATACATATCCAACAACTCGGTCGCATTATAGACATGCGTTATTAAAGCATTATGTTATCATTGGGTAATGTGATAATGGTTTTCATTGTACATAAATTTGAAAATGTATGTATACATGTTGGAAAGGAATATTCTTAGTTGTTCAGTTTAATTCGTTTAAAGACGTAAAATATCAGTTTGCAGCCTTCTCTTATTGATATCTACTTTTGAGTTTAGTATGTCCATTTCGTTTATGCATTTATTTCAATCTGTTCTGTTTCATATATATTTATTTATGCGTATGATTTCAGTATCTAAGATTTATTATCAGTAAGTGTTAGACTGCTATAAAGTCAATGTGTATGTGTTTTGCTGATTAAGCTTAATACCGTTCTCATGTGTGTTCTGTTAGGCAACCAAATCAATTCAATATTTTCACTTCATTTAGATGCCATCTTTGCATTAAACATTTGTAAAATACATCAATTAAAGACATGTAATTTCAGACATAAATACATTTGAATGACAAAAGCATAATATACATATAGCGCTTAGAGACTTCGGTGGTAAGCGCTTTATAAGTAACGTTTTTATTATTATTATTTTTGACAAAACTAAATTGGGCACAGCTGTAAAAGAAAACAAGTTTGTTTTTTTAAAGACAGCTTCCCTGATAGAATAGGATTTGGTAAACATTTGGTAAACTAATTTCTTTGCATAATGTCATTTTTATAGAATACATTTATCATCTATTGAGTGATGGGCAATGTTTACAGAACCAGACGTTTCCTTCAATGTTCCGTAACTAAAATAAAAGGAACAGATGGACGTGTTTTTATGGGGAGAAAATTTTTGACCGCTCCGTGAAATAACTTCACACTCTTGTTTGCGCATGCATGATGGTGAAGTAAAAAACAATTAGAGCAGATTGCTCAAGAGAGGGGAGAAAATAAATATAAGACAAGGAAAAGACCAGGTGGGGGAAAGAAGCTCGTGGAATAAAGCTGGACGATGTATTATTTATTTTTCTCGGCACCCCCGTGTCTACCATTTCTGTGTTTCCTCGCAACCCCCCTGACGCTTCTTGGTAAACCGCCCGAAGGGACGCGGGGGTCATTTGCATCACCATTCCGCAGGGTTCGGGGTGCGCCGCTTGGGAGCCTTTTTGGTAGGGAACGCGGGAACAATAGGCGGGGTCAGTGAGATTCAATGGAGGGATCAGACCGGGTTGGGATCAGTTTGGAAGTATGCACGCGATAAAAAAAAAGTATGGTGCAATGTACCTTGGATGTACCAGAGAGAGAGAGAGAGAGAGAACTGTTGAGATAGGGGAAATAAAAGCGAGAAAGGGAGAGAAATTTAGAGAGATGGACAGACAGAAGGTAAAAGAGAGAGAGAGAGACACTGACAGAAACACAGAAAGAACAAAATAACCTGAGAAAACCCCTAAACTTTGAAAGTTCTGGCAATCGGAAAAAGCCCCCTATGATATAGAAGAGAGTATTAAATATGATCTAGGAGAGAGAGAATGTGAGACAGAAAGAGAGAGAAAAGATAGGAGATAGAGGGAGAAGAGGAAAGTAAATAATACATAGGAGGATCGAGGTGTTACTGGATATGAAAATCCATTTGAGAATAAGTAACAATACAACAATTCACACTTATCCACGCTATAATTAAACATGAACCGGCTCTAAAAGCACAAAATCGGGAAATGGGTGCCGTACATGAAATTTAGAGATTAGTTATAGATTGTTTGTATTAAACTTTTAGCAATATAACTCACTCAGAAATGGCACCGTAGCACCGATGTAGGATACATGTTATTTATTTTGTGCAAAAACACTTTGAGGATATCAATTCTACATTGTGGCAGTTAGAAAACCTTGTCCATTGGGCATTTTGATATACATTACTGGACTGGTAATGTATCGAAAAACCTAGGTATGGAGTTATCTACTCAAGATTCTAAGTTATCCACCTCACTGTTTCATCCGCATACATATCAGCTCCCCGATTGCCCATCCTCTGTCTTTCTCTCTCTCTCTCTCTCTCTCTCTCTCTCTCTCTCTCTCTCTCTCTCTCTCATGTCTAACTCCTTATTCTATCTTTCTCTATTTTCTTTCTCCCTCTTTATTATCTATGCCGTATTCTCTATCCTTCCCTTTCTCTCTACCTCTCTATCTCTCTTTCTGTCTATCTATCCATGCTCATATCTTTATTCGTCCCTCTTCAAATATGTATTATTCTGTTTCTCTCTCTCTCTCTCTTTCTCTCTTCTGTTCGTCTCTCTCTCTCTATCTCAGTTTCTCCCTATCTGTTTCTCTATTTATTCTGTATGTCACTTTCTCTGTCTCACCTCTCTCTCTCTCTCTCTCTCTCTTTCCATCTTCTCCTTTGAACAAACATCACATTATTTCTGTTTGCTTTAAGTTTTTGTAATTGTTTCAGTGTGCAAAGTTAAACGTTCAAAGTTGATTGATTAGTATTAGAAGTAGGAAAAGGAAAATCTCAGATCAAATGAGGAAGAAAATAAAAGGAAAAAATATAGGGTAGTGTTGAAAGATCGTCACTAAAATTGTTCGTGCGTAACGTTAAATGCATGGTAGCGAATTATTACGAGGTGCTTAAATCCCAGTCTTACCAGAGCCATCCCATAATTTCCGCATTCCAATTTCGACTTTTTCTCCTTTTGAACGAGTGGCGTTACTGTGAGGGAGCACGGGGGCACGTCCCCCCCCCCGTCAACAAGTTAAAAGAAAATATAAGATAAAGGAAGATGGAGAGAGAAAGGAGAGGGGGAGGGGAACGTGAAAATACGCTACGACCCTTCCCACACCCTCTCCAATAGTCTTGATAATTTTCACTTCATCCACCGAGTTAGAGTGGTAAACCGAATACCTCTTCCAACTCCCTGAAAAAAAGGAAAGAAAGAAGAAAAAACAGTGTCTCTTGTCTGGGCCCTGCTTTACCACGACGGGGTAGCTAATTCTATATGTTTTTGTTTTAAGTAGTACTAGGAAGTTTTATATTTCAAATATCATGATGATGCTGGGATGATAAATAATACAACATTTTAATTGACTACTTGTTAATAACTGAAAATAAACGAATTGCTTCTGCCAAAATAGATTTCATAGAATAGTGTATAGACTATAGAGTATGTGAAATAGTCATGCAAAATACAGAAAGATCAACGTTGCGAGTATGTCAGGAATATAAACATGTAGTAAATTGTTTCGCATGTGCATATCCGTGTTATTGTTTCCACCCTTGTCTGTGGCCTCCATGGTTGCAGAATACTTGTCATATATTCACATATTTAACTGATCAAAGAAAGAGCCCCAGGGGAGCTCTGCAGTTGTTTACACATGATCAACGATCCATCTATTACTAGAAAACAAGGGTCACATAACTAATAAAAAGCAAAATTACCGCACAGTTTATCAGATTCATTTTGCAATGAAACGGACCTATTTTTACCCGGCGTTGCACACGAGGCGTCGTTTCGATTGCGTCATTATGATTGCGTCATAACCCACGCTAATTAACGTTATGGAGACAGTGAGTCAATGCGCTAATAATTTAGGGCAATAATTATAATGTCCATTTTGCATTCACATTTTGGACACATATCACTCCGTCATGGTGCGTCAGAGACAGCGCAAGTCACTGACGCAAGTCACTACGTCAGCAAGTGAAGCTTCATATAAAC